GCGGTGTGATGGGAGATGGAAGGTAGAAAAAGACTGCAGGTTTCCGCTATCTAAAGTTGAATGAGATTGCACAGATCCTGGGCGATACAGTCTTGCTGTCCTGAGGATCTTTCCAGCACCTATCCTTTCTCTCTCAGCAGCGGCTGCAAAACTTTCCTTCGAGCTGCGCTCACCCCCAGGTATCCTCCGAGGGTATCCCTGTTCCTTAGGACGAGGGCTTCCCATTTGTTCGGAGAATGGTGGAATCACATCTATCCACTCTCTCGCCCGCTTAGAGGCTCTTAATTTAAATGGCAACGAAGAACTGGGAGGAAAGATGCCGATTCGCTGTGGGGCTCTGTGCATCTGTCTCCCGTAGTGCCCCGCAGCGGCCTCGCTGGGTCTAGGAGCAGCTGGAGGCACACGTCCCCCACTTTCCACCCCTGTCGCGCTTCTCCGAATCTCAAAAGAGTGCCGCTAGCGCTGACTTAGTTCCCCAGTCTCTGCATTGTAACCCAGTCCCCAAATTCGCTCCTACCCCAAGACCCCTTCCCACCAGGGGGCGCCGCTGGAGTTAGTGGAGAGGGTCAGGATTCTGACTACATATACCTCGGGACAAACAGAATCAAGGCTTGAATTGTGTGACATGTAAATAGGCGGGTTTCAAGACCACAGGTGTTAACCTCTTGGAGGGCTTGCCTGACAGAGGACAGGGTGCTTGGACCCTGAAGGCCTCAAGGCAAGGCTCCTCTTCTCCAAGAGGAACCTGGCCTTCGATTCACCACTTCGCCTCCTGTTCCAACCCGGGGGCACGCCAGTGCTGGGAGAGAACTGCACACGCGCCGCCACCCGACGGCCTCTGGTCGCCCCACTCCCTTCCCGCCCCCAGGGCTTACCCAGGGGCCACGACCTGAGGAGAGCGACCCCCAAAGAAAGGTCGCCCTCGAAGACCCTACACGGTCAAGCTGAGACAGGGAGCACTAGAGGGAGCGCCCTTCAGCGCGGGTCTCGGAATATCTCTTCCTCGCTTCCTCGAGACCGCCGCCCTACTGCACATCCCCGGGCTGCGCCCCGCTCCTTCGGAGCTTCTCGATTCTGGTGCCTGCGAAGAGGGCCAACAGGGTTCTGTGAGATCCTTAGGGGGAAGGAAGACGCCCCCCAGAGGATCGTAGTTCCGTTCCTTGGATCTCGTATTAGAGAGCAGCGATCCCAGCGCCGAGCTGCGTTCGGCTTTCTGCTCCCTGGGCTGGCTTGCCTTCAGGGCACCCGGGAGCCCAGCTCGGCTCTGGAGCCTGCACTTGACTGAAGAAAACTCACCCTCTAACGGTCTAGGCCCAGGAGCAGATGAGGAACCCAAGAGCTTCATGTAGAGAGTTGGAGGCCTGGATTCCGTTTCTATAAACCCCAGTTGCAGAACCAGAAGTAATAATCCCTTCCGTTTGCTATCGATTTTTATGATTTACAAACTCACACACGTGATCTCATCCTTAAATACTTGGATCTGGGGTGCGGGGGGGGGGCGGGGATGGAGACAACTGTACTTGAACAACAATAAAAAAATACTTGGATCTTTAGCGCAACACAGGGCATGTTATAACCATTTTTACAACTCAGGATACAGGTGCTAAGAGGCTTTATTTTCTTAATTCAGTATTTCTTGAGGGACTAGAGGCGTCGAGGATAAATAAAATGGGGCCTTGCCCTTGAGTAAGGGGGGCAGAAAACAACATTCTAGTTTATTCTGGCTGTGACTGGAGTGGCTCCAGGGTGTGGTGGGAGTCCCCGAGAGCTGCACCGTGTAGCTGAAAAGCGGCAAAGCCGGCTCCCATCCCGGGACTTCTGACTTCTACCCAAGTGCTCTGCCCACCACCCGCGAGCGCCTGAAGATTGGGAAACGGTGCCGAAACCCACGCACAAACTTTAAGATTCTATCTCCATTGGGCCCTGGGGGAACACTTGCCACCAAATAACTACATATTACTTGGGTGATTTATTGTTAATTTGCAAGCTCGGCGTGGGTAGGGCCACGTCTTGTTTGCTGAAGGCTGAAGTTGCGGGCCTAGCACAGAGCCTGGCACAGAGCCACCAGCACTCGTAATTATTTGTTGAGTGATTCACCAATTGCGATAAAACTCGGAGCAAAATAACACCACCAGGAAACACGATCGCTCGCCGCCCAAGAGAGGTGTGAAGGACTAAGAGGGGAATTAGAAAAATGTCGGGGGCGGGGCGGTGCCCGGACAGGACGGGGAACAGGTATTCCCTTCTCATCCCCACCTGGTCTGAGCTGCGTCTTCTGCGTGAGCCCGCTCTTCTAATTCTCGAGGAAGTAACTAGGGAAGGAGAGAAGGGTGATTCCGTTCGGCCAAGCGGGTGGTGAGCAAAAGGGGGATGGCAATGCCAAGCATCCTTGCCCGGGCCTGGGCCTGTGCCTCCTGGTGTCCTGTGTCCCGGGAAGATCGGAGGCAGCAAAGCAGTGTGGCCTGGACTGAGAGGGGCGTGTGCAGCCGCGCCTGGGAAAGCTCCCTGAGCGACCAGAGCTGGGGCCTGCCCGCCACTGCCCCAGCGCATCCACCCCGCCCCAGAAAGGGTTAGTTGAGGGATAAAGGAGGACACACGGGGTCTACAGGTGGACTCGGGTTTCCCAAGTATCTCCTGCAGCCGTGAAGAAATTACTGGTTTAACCAGGGTCCGCCCTGTTAAGGATGAGTCGAAGAGGCAGCTGAAAGAACACTCTTTAATCAGGCAGCGGTGTGGGGACCAGGAGAGGGACTCTCAAGGACTTTGCACTTTGCTTGGACAAGCTCGGAAATATAGATACCCGCCTTTTCTCCACAAGACACCATAGTTTTCGGGCTTACTCTTGACAGCGCATTGCATGTGGGAAAGAGTAGAGTGCGCGCGCGTGTGTGTATGTGTGTATGTGTGTGCGTGCGTGTGTGTGTGTGTGTGTGTGTGTGAGAGAGAGAGAGAGAGAGAGAGAGAGAGAGCAGGGGTAGGAGACCCAGCCGAAGTCTAGACTAGGGTTGGTGCTGGTGCGCGGCGGGGGAGAGGGGGTGCTGGGGCGGGGACGGTAGGTTGCCACACAATCCTGGTGGCGGGTAGAGGGTGGAGCAGGAGCAGTAGCCGGCCCTCCCGCCCCCCACCCGCTCCCTCGAGCCCCTGCTCTTGCTCAGTGCCCAGACCCAATGCCTGCTGTGTGGCTCCGTATACTTGTACCCCCTGCAAACCTAGGGTGTGGGTGCAGGCAGGGAGCTGCCAGCCACTTGCGCTGGCCCCGTGCCCGTTGAGGAACTGAAAATCAGCCGAGGGACCAGGGCAGGAGGCAGGGCTCAGGGACTGTGGAAGATACATCCAACACTTCCCCTCCACTCAGATATAGGTCTTAAGGGTGGATGGGGTACTAATGATAATAATACAGAAATCTCCAGCGCTGACACTGAACTTAAAAATTTCAGAGCTTACAAAGCACTTTCATGTGCCCAGTCTTACTTGAATCTCACAAAAATCTTGTCAAGAATTACCCCTATCTCTAAACTGCATTGAAATTGGGAGAAATGTTCAACGTTCTGCACTTGGTGTTCTTCTTACCCACAGTAGGACATAATAGAGAGAGAGAAAGAAAAAAGAAAAAAAAAAAGATGGGTAACTGGGAAACCCACCACCTCCATGGCATTAAGACCTCACTGGAGACATAGGCCCGAGACTGGGGTCCTGCCTGCAGATATGATCTGGATTGTTTGGTCTGCTCTCCTCCACCGTTCATTTGAGCCCAGCGTGGTATTCCCTCCTAAGCTCCCTAGGCTTAGACCATGACAGTGACAAAAGCACAGTGGATAGGGTCTAAGTCCTTCCTGAGAGCGCCCCCCAGAGAAGCCGCATTGAAAGGAAGGGCAAAGAGCGGGCTTGGTGCCTGTCTTCGCAACACAACCAACAAACGTCTCTGGCTTGGAGACACAGGGTTGCTTGCTCCAAAGCCCCGAAGGGGGCCACACAGAAATGTGGGCCCACGCCGAGTGGGGACAGGGGTGTTCTGAGCTTTCTTTCCCCTAGTAACGACGTAGGTGGTGAGGAAAGCGAATGTTAGTATAGAAGTTGGCTTTGTATTGAGGGAGTGCAGAGCACTCCTCAAGGAGAGGATTGAAATAAAAAGCCAATAAAAAAACTTTCCTACTACAATTGCTGTTAATGGAAAAGGCGCCTAACCTGCTGAATTATATCTTTCAAAGTGCCTGTTCATCATTGGGAGTTCCTTCTCTACAAGGAAGGAAAAGAAAATATGAAAACAAAAACCAAATTCGAGAAGCCTCCTTAACCGGCCCCCGCAGTGTCTTGGAGGCCCCTGCCCGGCCGGGGAGCGCTCCCCCCTCCCAGCCCCTAGGGCTGAGAGGAGGCTAAACAGCCAAAGAACATAAAACAAAGCAACAAAAACGTTTAAAATCCAAGGGCAAAAAATCGTAGTGGATCTCAGGATTTGCGCCGTGCCGGGCTACATTCCGTAGTCTGCTCTGCCGGAAGCCCGGGCCTGGCCGGAGCAGAGAGGCAGATGCCTCGGCCGGGCTGGGGAGCGCAGCTCCTCCTCTTCAGGTGCCCAAGGACCCTCAAGGCACGGGGCTCACACTTAAAGCCTGGGAACGCGCAGACAGGAAACCCACTTCCTCCTAAGCAGTTTCTTGCTCGCAGGATGAGAGGCGTCCAATTGAAGCAGAATGATCCTCATCTACTAATATCCAGCGTGGCCACAAAGCGACTGGCCATTTACGCCGCCACTTTAAACAAAGATATTTGGTTATTCCCGGGGAAGCAAGTGCACTTTTGCATGGCTGAGCTCTGGGCAGAGGAGAGCCTCAGCCCAGCCTCCCGCCCGCTGGGCTGCTCTCGCCTCGGGATTCGCCCCCTCCTGGCCAGCCGGGCCCGCCGGGGTTCAGGCTCAGTTCACCCAGGACGCTCCCTGCCTGCACCCTCCCTGAAGCATCAGAGGGGAAATCAGCGTGGCCCTGGGCTCGGGTGCTGGGGCTGTGATGTCCTTGGAAAGTCAGCTCCAGAACCCCGGGCGTCCAGGCGCTGGGCGAGGGTCGGGGACACCAGGTTTGTTCGAGGTGGGGCAATTTAAGTGATGGCCCCTCGCGTTAATCCCCCTCCAGCCTCCCAGCTCCATCTGCCAGTGGTGTGTTTGCCTTGGCCAGGGGGTGGGGGTGGGGAAGGGGAGCCGCATGTGGGGAGGGGGTGGTGTGATGCATGGGAGGGGACCCTGCTCCACCAAGAAGACCCTGAGCTGGGTGGGGAAGGAGGACGCAGGGATCTGGGACTGCCTCCCGCCGGCAGCCGATCCCCTGCTCAGAGCCCGCTGGGAATCTCTCCCGGGCAGGGGGAAAGGGGGCGGGGATCCGAGGTGTCCCTCTGACGGTGGCAGAAGAAGCAGACAGACTGACAGACACGCAGCCCACAGTGCGGCCCCAGGGTTCGTCCCCAGACTCGCAAGCTCTTTTGGTGGCGACTGGGGCCCGGCGCCGCGAAGCCCGATGTGGTCCGGAGGCAGTGGGAAGGCTCGGGGCTGGGAGGCCGCGGCGGGAGGGAAGAGCAGCCCCAGCAGGCTCAGGTGAAACCCCCAACCCCGCCCTTAGCCCCCTCCCTTTGAACACCTGTCTTCGCCCCGGGGATCCCCGCCGAACTGAAAAGTGGTTCACTTTGTAACTCCGAAAGTTGGTTGCAAAGCAGCATTCACCTTCCTTTCTCACCACCATCCCTCCTCCTCGGCTACTCCCTACCCCACCTCTTGCCCTCCCACTCTCGGTGCCCTCCTCCTTCCCTCCCCCGCCTCACCCTCCCCCGCGCGCCGCCGGCACCCCACAAAATATGGGGGTGGGGGTACCCGGGGGAGGGGGAAAGAAATGCTTCGGGTCGCATCTCTGCCCCTCTCTCTCTCCCCCTCTTTGAGACCGAAAAATCCTGACAAGTGAAACTTAAAGGTGTTTACCTTGTCATCAGCATGTAAGCTAATTATCTCGGGCAAGATGTAGGCTTCTATTGTCTTGTTGCTTTAGCGCTTACGCCCCGCCTCTGGTAGCTGCCTAAAACCTGGCGCCGGGCTAAAACAAACGCGAGGCAGCCCCCGAGCCTCCACTCAAGCCAATTAAGGCGGACTCGGTCCACTCGGTTACGTGTACATCCAACAAGATCGGCGTTAAGGTAACACCAGAATATTTGGCAGAGGGAGAAAAAAAAAAGCAGCGAGTCTTCGCCTTCCCCCTCTCCCTTTTTTTTCCTCCTCTTCCTTCCTCCTCCAGCCGCCGCCGAATCATGTCGATGAGTCCAAAGCACACGACTCCGTTCTCAGTGTCTGACATCTTGAGTCCCCTGGAGGAAAGCTACAAGAAAGTGGGCATGGAGGGCGGCGGCCTTGGGGCTCCACTGGCGGCTTACAGGCAGGGCCAGGCAGCACCGCCGGCCGCGGCCATGCAGCAGCACGCCGTGGGGCACCACGGTGCGGTCACCGCCGCCTACCACATGACGGCCACGGGGGTGCCCCAGCTCTCGCACTCCGCCGTGGGGGGCTACTGCAACGGCAACCTGGGCAACATGAGCGAGCTGCCTCCCTACCAGGACACCATGCGGAACACCGCCTCGGGCCCCGGATGGTACGGCGCCAACCCAGACCCGCGCTTCCCCGCCAGTAAGTGAGGCCGCCCCACGGCCGGGCTGCGTGCTAAGCGCGGGAGGAGCGGGGAGAGCCGCCGGATGGGCGCGGCGCCTGCGGGCTGTGCGCGGGGCTTCGGGGTCGGCGCCCGGCGGCGGCGCCAGGGAGTCGGGCGCGGGAGCTGGGGTTTGATTATTCTTCTTCCTGTTGGGTTTAGGGGTCCAAGAAGAGACTCATAGTGTTGGGACCTGGGGCCAGGCGCTGGTATCGGTGTCTCCCAGATGCGGCCAACTGGCAGCTCTGCTCCACGCCGGAGACCTCGGAGTGCCGAGGAAGGCGCCTCCCCAACTTAGGGAGCTGGGGAAACAGGGTGCAGAGAGACGCGGCCTGGCCGGGCAGGAGGCTGCCGTGCAGGGACGCGTTCAGGCGCAGGGCCGGCCTCTCTCCAGTCTAATCAGGTGGGAGGGCGCGCAGCTCCAGAGCGGGATCTGAAAGGGCCAAGTAAATGCCGGCACTGGGGCTGACAGGAGAGAGCAGACAAGAGGCAAAGCGTCTCGGGGCTCTAGTTTTATGAGCACTTCTATCTCCTATGCTCCCAAAGTTAGAGTCTTACCGTGGAAATCCACCTCCTGGCCTGGGCCCAGTTCGCCGCCGGTGGCCCGTTAACCCCGCGACTCCAGCCGGGGTTGGGTACGAAAGGAACAACTGTGCTTTTGGGGTGGAGCACTGAGACTGAGGGAGGTAGCAGAGGTTGCGGTGGGAGTTCTCCAGGCCCCCGACGGCATGGCCAGAGCAGGCGCTGGCGATCCCCGCAGCGGGGCATCTGAGGGTGAGGCGGCCTAGGTGAGGAGGGCGCCGTCGGGGCCCGGCCTGGCCAGCCAAGGGCTCGGAAGGGAGAGGTGGCGTGGCCCGGCCTGGCCCCGGCCGACGCTGTGCGTTTGTCACTTACAGTCTCCCGCTTCATGGGCCCGGCGAGCGGCATGAACATGAGCGGCATGGGCGGCCTGGGCTCGCTGGGGGACGTGAGCAAGAACATGGCCCCGCTGCCAAGTGCACCGCGCCGGAAGCGCCGGGTGCTCTTCTCCCAGGCGCAAGTGTACGAGCTAGAACGACGCTTCAAGCAACAGAAATACCTGTCGGCTCCCGAGCGCGAGCACCTGGCCAGCATGATCCACCTGACACCCACGCAAGTCAAGATTTGGTTCCAGAACCACCGCTACAAAATGAAGCGCCAAGCCAAGGACAAGGCGGCGCAGCAACAACTACAGCAGGACAGCGGCGGCGGCGGAGGGGGCGCCGGGTGCCCACAGCAGCAGCAAGCGCAGCAGCAGTCGCCGCGCCGTGTGGCGGTGCCGGTCCTAGTGAAAGACGGCAAACCTTGCCAGGCGGGCGCCCCGGCTACTGGCGCAGCCAGCCTGCAAGGCCACGCGCAGCAACAGGCTCAACAGCAGGCGCAGGCCGCTCAGGCGGCGGCGGCGGCGATCTCCGTTGGCAGCGGCGGTCCCGGCCTGGGTGCACACCCAGGCCACCAGCCGGGCAGCGCGGGCCAGTCTCCGGACCTGGCGCACCACGCCGCCAGCCCCGTAGCGCTGCAGGGCCAGGTCTCCAGCCTGTCCCACCTGAACTCCTCGGGCTCGGACTACGGCACCATGTCCTGCTCCACCTTGCTATATGGTCGGACCTGGTGAGAGGTCGCTGGGCTGCACCATGCCCAGCACGCGGCCTCATCGCTTTCCCTCTTGTCCGCCACACACGTCAACCACCCGGCTCTCCAAGCGCTTCGGCTTTTCTTAAGGACCTGTCCTGTTTAGACCAAGGGAAAAAAACACAAAGGCCAAACTGCTGGACGTCTTTCCTTTTCCTTTTTTTTTCTAAAATTCGTGGGATTTTTTTAAAAAAAGAAAATAAAAACAACCAAGCGAATCCAATTCTTTAAGGAGACTTTCAACAGAGAAGGACATAAGAACAACTTTCGGGGTGTCTTTTAGGTGATTCAAATAGGTTTCCCACGCTCGGGTGGGGCACAGTTTGGAGAGGGATCTATGCTGGCATGGCTCTGGACTGTAAAGATCACAAACTTCATTCTGCGTACACTGTGCCAGCAAAGTGGACTCGCTTGTAAATACCAGGATTTCTTTGAAGGGGAGACGGGGCCGGGGAGAGGAAAGACACTTCTACAGAGCCCACTTGTCAGTGACACAAAGGAAATGCCCCCTCCCAGCAAACTCCGGCTGCCCAGGATCAGCCTGCCAGCCCTGGCTAAAACTGCTTTATGTTTGATGTGAACTTGTAGCTGTAAAACACTGTCAAAAGTTGGACTAAATGCCTAGTTTTTAGTAATCTGTACATTTTGTTGTAAAAAAAAAAAAAACAAAAACAACAAACAGTTCCCATCCCCTGCCCATCATATTTTTTATGGGCACTGACAAATCTGTGTATATTATTTGGCAGTTTGGTATTTGAAGCGTCAGTCTTTTTCTGTTGTAACTTATGTAGATATCTGGCTTAAATATAGTTCCTAAGAAGCTTCTAATAAATTATACAAATTAAAAAGATTCCTTTTCTGATTAAAAACCCACCTTTTGTTTGGTTTTGATTTGGCTTTAAATGGCATTTTTGGTTGAGGGGGAAGCACTCATCAGTGGCCAGAGGGGGTGGGGATTTGAATTGTTTAGGGGTTCAAAGGATCCTGAACCAGCTGAGAAGAACTTGCCTTCTGCCTCCAAATTGAGTAGAACCAAACCTTGAGCAGTCCTGGGGTTCAACAATAAAGAGGAGAAAAGCTAAACTACTTCCACCAGGAAGGAAAGGAAGAAAGGAAGAGAACTGGACCAAAGGACTAGTTTTCAGAGCCAGGCTTCTGTTTTTTTTAAACCTCAGAAGTATCTACAGTGGCCTTATACAGCTAAGCCAATAACCCTGAATGAGCAATTATTTTTACTGAACCGACTGCCCCTGTAGATTTCAACATCAATCTTTTATTTCTAATCTGCGGTCCACTCTCCTGGCAATCAGAATTCGGTGTGGGAGGTTGTTTTCCAAAGTAGAGAAGTCCTTACCGGTTTCTTTTCTATTCCAAAATGGCTATCTCCGCCCCAGTTTGGCCCCGGATCTCTACTACTCAGGGCCTCTTGGCCTCAGGAGGTGACCCACTCGCTCCTGGCCTGGGGACATGGGAACACCCTCCTGCCCCTGCCAGGACTTTGGGAGCTGGGCTTGTGCTCTTTGTTCTACCGGTTTCCGGTTTCCATCTCTGGGCTCCTAAATCTTTGTAGTAACGAATCTTTCACTTGTTCCCAACTCTTCATCTCTCCTGACCACCCTTCCCCCTGTGAAAAAGTAAATAAAAACCTTTTATGTTTCTTCCTATTTCTTATTTCCTTGTCTCTTTGGTGCCCAGATATGGCTATTGGGGAACTCTTAGAGTTGCCCTAGCAAGGGGAGGAGAAAGTAGTAGTTGTGGACACAGAGAAATTGTGTTCCCTAGATGCGCTGTGGTCCCTTCCATGTCACACCCTGATAAACCTGTGAGGAAAAGTGACCGAGTGGGCTGCGGACAGATGCCCCTCCCACCACTTTACTTTTTCCCCAGACCTGAAAGTGTTTGAGTGTGGGGGATTGATTCATATTTACCATGTACTCATTTTTTGTCTAGAATTTCAATTTTTTTCTTTCTTGCCTCTCCCCTTCATTACTTCCTCCCTTCTTTTCATTTCGCCAAATCTCCACTTCTCTTCCTGGCCTCCACCCTCACCCTCCAGAAACTTGTAAGAGAAGTCGCCAGGCCTCAGGCCTTGTTCTGTAGCCCACGTCCTCTTTGTTGACTTCCTGGGGGCTTCTCTCTTGTGGTGCTTTAGGACTGGGGACCAGGGCAGACTTCCTCCCCAAGGATGCTGGCTGCTGAGATATGTTTCTAATACCCAGAAGAGACTCAGAGATTCAGAAAGTTGGTTGGGTCTAGGGAGTGTGCCAGTTGAGGAGATATCTCCTTTTGGAAAACAAGCAAAAACCCGGGAAGTTTCAACAGTTGCATTGGAATGGGCCACAGCGGTCTCAGGACAGGGTGTGTAAGTGTTTAAGTCACTCACTGAGGCAGGGGAGAGGTTTGGCTCTAAGGTCCCAATTCCATGGGGGTGGGGGTGGGAGCTTCTGATCAACATGCCCTCTGCCCAGCCCAAGCCTGGGCGCCGACAAGATAGGCCGGGTTCGGCAAATGTCCGAGGTGACTGTCATCTCCACCCTATCCTAGCCCAGAGCTGGTTCATGACAGTAACTATTCTAATGGGCTGTGCTACTCTCAGCCTTATAACCCTTGCAGTGGATGGAGTTTCTATCAAATGCATTCTTCTCCTCATCATCTAGAAAGAGACAGGCAGCTTAGTTTGAAGTTTGTTTACTTGTCCTGGGGAAAGGTAAATTCAATCAGCCTGCGGATGGGACCGAGACAAAATAGGGCTTTGGGGGTCCACCAGCTCTCGCTCCTGGCCAGGAGACTGTAGCTGCAGGCAGCATCTCTGGAACCAATTTGAAGCGTCTTGATAGGGAAATAGGTGCAGGTTTATCGCAGCGAAAGACCGCAGCCGGGGGACAACCCCCACTCCCACATCTTGGTCAGCTTCTGCGAAGCCGATGGCGTCTTCTCCTGGAGTGAACCACCCCTAGGTCTCCAGTATCTCTGGTTCGAGTCAATTCTGGCCTCTCCTAAGGGAGAAATCAGCGCCTTCTGGGGACGCTGCTGGCGCTGAAGTGCCTGGAAGAGCCGGAAGCTTCCCCAAGAGTGGGGGCAACGCAGTTCGCCCTGAGATCCGGGCAAGGCAGAGCGCCCCCGCCTAAGCACCCCACCCACCTCTAGGCCCCGACGGCTTCGGGGGAGCAGGGGATATTTTGCAGACAGCATCCCCCCTCCTCTTCTCCCCCACCCCCCACCCTGCCATGTAAACACGAGGACTTTCTCGAGAGCCCTGGAGAGAGGCTCTAGTGGCTTCGGGGCCTGAAACCCCAGGCTTGGCTTGTTTGATGTTTAGCATCCCAGAGCGGCTCCCCACCCCCGCCCCAGCCTGGGAACCCGGATCTGTTGGTCAGAGAGGCAGGAAAGCAGCCCTCTCAGCTGGCCGGCTAGGGACTGGGCCGAGTTCAGGAGAGGCGAGAAGAGCGGGTCATAGATGCTACGAGCTGGGTGAAGGGAGTCTGGACTGCCGCAGCCCGCAATAGAGGCAAGAGCGGGTACGGCTGGAGTCTTCAAGGCCAGGAAGAGGCTGGGGGCAGGGAATGAATGCCTCAGCAGCCGGGGCAGTGGCCCTGGGAGAGAGGCTGGCTTGGTGGGAAGTAGCTAGCTTGGGGCCCTCCGAATGAAATCAGAGCCAGGCCGCAGCCAACTCTGCGGGAAACGCTCCGAGCGCTTATTCCTGGAGGCGGGGGAGGCCCGCGCGCGCCAGTGCAAGGGCCTCGCAGGAGGCAGCTCTTCTTGGCACTGCTAGGGATTGGCCTTTGAAAGAGCAAGACTTGCTCGGGAGCCTTCCAGCGATTTTAAATCCTCCTCAGGCAGGGTGAGGCCTAGGTCTGGCAGTGAGGTCTGCGATTTTGAAACCCCAGAGAAGAATTCTCAGACTTCAGAGGCCGCAACAGTTTTCCAGCGCGCTCACCGGCATTTGGGCGTCGGTGAGGGGCTAGCTCCAGGAGCAAGTGCACAAAAGATAGCGCGAGTCTCTTCTCAGGCGATCGGAGATAAGAGGAAATGAGAGCGGGGTTTTCTGACTTCCAACTCATTAGGGACCAGGTAAGGTCAATGCTTTCTCTATTATGTCTTTATCTTAAAAGCGGGTCAATTTAAGATAAGGGGGGGAAAAAAGTCCAGGATCTTGTGACGTGTGCTGATAAAGACTGACCCCTTTTCTAAACTAAAAGCAAGCCAAGCAGACCATTCATTTTCTATAAACAAGAGAGTTGTGAGAAGCTGCCGTGAATTCTGATCGAATGTCCCCAGTCTCTCTAGACATCACCCCTCCCCCCCAATTATTAGCCGGGTAGAAGAGTGAGCAAGGATATTATTTGCGGAGAACTAGAAAGCCTGTTGGGAAATGTGGATCTGCGATGATATGGCTCTTAGGCATGCTTTGCTGTCTTGTTTGTTTCAAATGCGGCTTTCTTTTAGAATGGAAGGAAAGTGACAGACAGGAGTATGGAGAGGGATGAGGCTGAATGTTTTTCTTGCTCAGCCAGGTCCCTATAAGGAATCCGGGACATCACCTTCCTCTAGCCCTCCCTGCCTTCTTGGCTGGCGCATTTGTGATTGTGCAATTGTATTCTTGCAGCTTCAGGCCACCCTCTGTGGGGTCCAATTTGGGTTCCTGCCTCAACTTGGAGTTCAGAGTTTTCTCGTGCCTCTTTGGCCAGTAGGTTCTGGAAGGAGTGTCCTACCCTGAGTCACTGTCTGTGGTGAGCTTGTCGACCCAAGTGGCTGGAGGAATTGGGTAGGAGTGGGAGTAGGGGAAATACTATGTTTTATTGAAGGAGGGAGTCAGGGTCTGCATGCCTCCTCCTCTATGTAGTCATGTTTCTAAACTTTTCCTGATTATTCTCAAAGGAATGGAGGAGGAGCAGGCTCAGCAACTTGACTGCACAGCCTTTGCCTCATCTGACGCCATAGCTGAAGTGGCTGGCTGCATTTCTCTCTGCCAGTAACCTAATGCCCTACTTGGAGGGCATCTAGGAATGGCCCCAGGCTCCTCATTTGATAATGTTCCCCACTTGGTCCCTGTTTTCTAAACATGTGTTGTCTTTGTGATTACGGATTGCAACAGTTTTGGGAAACATGAGGTTTAAATTCATTTTTTGGTTTTATTTCTTTTTGAGTTACTTGCAGGACATGGCAATATAATCGATTGCTATTAGTGTTCTGCTTGAAATGGAAAGAAACATTTAAAAAACTGTAGACAATAGGCCTTGCTAAAGATGACTCTTTCTTCCAACACAATAGTGGCATTTGGTTCTGCTTACTCTGCATGTAAGTATAAGTGTTTGCATACAGGCACCTGTGTGTATGTATGTATATATATATCTTATATATATAAAGTACATGCATACATATATCTATCTTATATATCCTTTATAACAGACTGAAAAGAAAAAAACTATTACAGAATTATCTTAGTAGAGAGTCTTAGAGAACCTGTTAGATGCAAGAAAGTTGAACACATTCATTATCTCAATTAAGATGTCACATGAAACCAAATTTCCCTTAAAAAAAATCAAGTAAACAAAAACTTTCCTTAGTTTTGCCAACTTTAAATTGGAAAAATAATTTATCTTCACATGAAACTAATTACATTATAGGGAAATATTAAAATTTATTCTTAAAGAAAATAAACTTGTTGCCCGAGA